AAATTCTTGCCCTCAAACTTTTGAATGAGAGTGAAAACGGTTTTAAAAAGATCTCAACAATGCCTCAAACTGTGCTCAGATTTGACAAGATACAAAAGTCAGTGTCCTCAATATGAGCTCAAACATTTCTCATCAAATTCCTCCAGGACAAAATTCTCCACATTCATCTTATAGCGCTATACTTTTAGGATTTGTAGGAGAAACATCTAAGACAAATTCAATATTTAAATTAAACCTGAAAATACCAATATGAAGAGCAACCACTGAGCAATGAAAATCTCCTCTGGGAAGAAACAAATGCAAGTATAAACATTTCACCTCTTCGGGACGTGTTAAGAGCCCATAACTTCTTTTTCAAATACTTCAGAAAGTGAAACACAATCAAGCGATTCTACTGTATATACTCTACATGTTTGTGCCAGTTCAAGACGTTATTGCTTAGGTTAAATGTCATCAAAAATGCAATAATGACTTATCTAACTACAAATAATCTAATAATGATATTAAATATCATTCTTGCATTTCATATTCTAACAATTGAACAGTGTGAAATATCACAGCAGTATAATAACACTGTTTATTCATTTAAAGTGATCAGCTTTAAACATAACACACAGGATTCAGTGACTTTTGCCCACATACCTGACTGAATCCACCTAGATGGAATGAAATGTAAATCCTGAAAATGTATACAAGAAATGTCAAGAAAAACATTATGCAGTGAACAAATATGTCTGGTGCACAGTTCACCGAACCAGCCTTTCCACACATGCTGCTGTCTTTCTTACCTGGTGCTGGATTATATGATCTGAACTGTACTGAAGGAATGAAAGGGTGAGAACTGGGTCTCTGAACCAAGTCCATCCTTACAGTAGAGGCACGCTGACCCCAGAACAGTTACCCACTGTCTCACTGGCCAAAGTGCCAAGGTCAAAGACTGACCTTCCCGCACTAAAATAACCACATACTGAGTGAGTGTGTGTGTGTGTGTGTGTGTGTGTGTGTGTACGCGTTTTTGTGACAAATGAGGACATACATTTGTATAATGACAAAGGTATGACATAGGTATTACAAGGAGAAGCTGACTTTTCAGGACATTACCCCATGTCCCCACTTTTCAAAACGCTTATAAATCACACAGAATGGAGTGTATTGAAAATCTAAAATAGCACAAAGTCTCCTGTAAGGGGTAGGTTTAGGGGTAGGGTTGGTGTAGGGCAATAGAATATACGGTCTGTACAGTATAAAAACCATTACGCCTATGGAGAGTCCCCACTTTTCACAAATGTAAACCTGTGTGTGTGTGTGTGTGTGTGTGTGTGTGTGTGTGTTTAATGGCTTCTTAGTTCCCATCAATTACAATGCTTTTAACATATTTTAATTACTTGATATTGTTGTCTTGTTTTCCAGTAAAAATACGCACACATACTGTATATGAACAAGACATACTTACTTAATATATTACGCAAAATTGCATAATATATTAAAAAGGTTTTTTTTTTCTTCGCTAGATCTCATTCTTAGAACAAGATTACATATTACAAAATATCTATAAAGAAATAAAATTAAGTTTCATTCAAATTAAAAAGTATGCAAAAGTTGTGCAAATTTAAAAAGATAATAATAATTATGATTTTATATACAAAAGATTAAACAAATATTTTTAAAATTACATTTAATTTGAAATAAAATAGTTTTAATTAAAAAAAAACTAATATTTTTTTATATTCTTGTTATAAGCTTAAAATATAGTGAAGAACAAGAAAAAAATGCATTTCTTAGTACATGACACAATTTTCCATAATATATTAAGCAAATATATCCTATTCAATGTTTATGATGTTTACTGTAAATATGAATTAAAAAAATATGTGATAAGAATTACAGATTAGAACATGTCAAGTTAAAGGATATTACTTTTAAACATATGCCTCGAACCCTTTTCGTCCAGTTGTTTTTGATTCCAAAACCCTAAGGCCGCCTAATTATACCCAATTAGTTGAATAGTCATTCTGACAAACCACAGACTAGTTCATTTTGAAAATATGTAGTTTTGCACATCTCTGCTCTGTACCTCTCCTGCATCTCTCTCTCTCTCTCGCTCTCTCTTTGATGTTAACTAAGGCTGTCTGCCTCTGTAGCATGTGCCAGGCTGAGGTTAAGTAGATGAAATATGCTGACATAAAATCAGGCAAACAGCTTTAGCACAGCACACATGGAACAGTGACTGGTTATATCAAAGTCCCTTTAACAGAGCACATCAAAACGCCTCTGGACGTAGCCATGAACCAAAAGAGACCTCGGAGGAAAAGGAGGGAACAGAAAAAGAGAGAGATTTGTCATCACTTTTCCAACTAAATAACTCTTAAAACTCTGCTTGTGTCAAGCCGTCTGCGTGCGAACGCTGGCGTTATGCTATAAAAGCGGCATGGATCTTTTATTCAGCCGAATAAAAGAATCAGGCCATTCCGAGGGTCGTATTATCATGCCTTTCCCAACATCCTCTCAATCCTGCTTCCGTAATTCTTCAATCTTTATCTCTCACACCTTCTGTACTTCTCACCTTTCCATCTCACAGCTCACACTTGCTCTCTTACTTCTCTTTTCTCCCAGTAATGGGGTTTGGTGCTGTAGAAGATTGAGGGGGGATGTTTTGTGTGTGTGTTTGTTGTGGGTGGTCCGAGCCGTCCCTCGCCGCTCTGGTCAGGCTGAGTCTAATTGCCGGTGTTGTGGTGCTAAAGTCATCCGGAGAGCCGTGTGGAGCCAGCGGGGGAAAATTGAACAAGCATCACCCGTCAGGAGTGCTTCCACTCAGAGAAGCTGTCAGCCTGCCCTGTTTACCTGCTACACAATTATCATCCGCCCCTGGGGAACCCTATGGAACAACACATGCATCCTCTGGGGGACGAAGAGGGGCCACGGGGGAAGCATGATGGTCGAATATCGCAGAGGGAGATCGCAGACTGAATCTTGTTTTGTGTTAGCGGCTGGAAGTAAATTAAGCATACAAAAGTCTGAGAGGTTATGATATGTGGCAACAGAGACGTGCAAAGCCATGAGGGTGAAAGAATAAGGGCCGGCTCACGCACAACGTGTTTTTGCATTCACCACACATTTAATTGTCTGTTTCATTAACTGTTTAATTGTTTTTCTATGCTAACATGCATTAAATGGATGCCTTTGACAGATTTGCTGCAATTCTTCGCATTTTTAAGTCATTTTCGACTGCTGTTTTGCTATTTTCTGCTGTCCGTTACTTCTTGTGCAAGCCTCATAAAAGTGAATCTCGAGATGCTTGCAATCTTTTTTTGTTTCCTTCTGATACACCCGTGCTGGCAAAATGAGTCAGAATGTAAATGGGCTAATTTTGAGCTACAGGCAAAAAAAGTGTCGAATTTGTCGAATTTGAGTTTTTCACAAAATTGAGCCCTCATCTAGCGATCCCAATGTTCCAAATAGTAATTCAACCTCTAAAATGATCTTTATTTGTATGTTTTCTGAGAGGTGTACCTTTTTCTCTGCTCGCTTCTTGACGACTGCTGCTTCCCCTCTGCACAAGTTTAACATTGTAAAGCGCAGCATTCCAGCTTTGTGAATATTCATAGCGAATTCTCGATGGCATGAGTCTGAACCCATGAAATGTGATGTTCAAACCCATGCTGATGTAAACAGAATGATCACGCTGACTGACACATCTGAAGTGTGCGCAAAAAGACGGTATTTCAAAATATCTGTTATGTCTTAAGTGAACATTTGGTTAACTGTTGGGGAAAAACATCTGATGTGCAACATTATATCTGTGCATTACAGTAGGTCTTAATATACAGGCCGTCTGCCTCATTAATTTAATCTAACAATAAAAGAGGGAATCACTTACTGATTTTTTTTAATTATGTATTTTTTTAAATAATTATTAACTTTATTAAAATAATTATTAACTATTATATATATATATATATATATAATGTTAATAATTATTTTAATAGTTATTAATTATTTAAAAAAATAATTCATATAAAATCTGTTATTTTTTAATATTGTTAATAAAAAAAATTTAATGTAAATGAGAGAGAACGAGAGAGAGAGAGAGAGAGAGAGAGAGAGAATGTAAAAAATAATTATATAATAAATAATCTAAAAATGAATTACAATAATTATGTTTTTGTATATATACTGTATGCATAAACAATACTTATATTTAAAAAGCAATTATTTTAAAATTGACATATTTAAAATGTTTTTGTGTATATAAAAGGATGCATATTATTTTAATAAAAAATATATATTAATAGACTGCATATAATTGTATGCACTAAGTATCAAAAATATAAAAACAATATAAAAAGTAATATATTCTTTTTTTAAATAATTACGTATACATGTATAAAATAAGGTACATATTTTTGCTTATTAAATTTGTATACATTTTAATAAATTGTATGTATTTAATTTATTTGAATGCATTTAAAATATAAAATTAAAAACTAGTTCTGAGCGAATATCCCTTAAGGTTGTTTGTGTTGAATGAGAGAGTGAGGAGTCTTTTGTAGGTGGTTTTTGTGGGATCTGGCTGTAGCCGCTGACCTGACCCTTGGCTCAATGGGACAGTGGGTCAGTGGTCTGGGCAGCACTGCAGGGAATCCCTTACACACATAAAGAGTGTGACCCTGCCTGAACTATGTCTTCAACTCTCACTCGAGATCCTTCCAATTCATTCACCCGAACTCTCCAGGCGCATCTGTCCAGTGCAGCCCATATGTCCATCAATCACCACTTATTAAATCTCCACAAAAGCTGGTGGGTGCTACAATTTGTTTCCTCTTTTGTCTTGGCAGCTCAGCTGAGCATCGTTTCCCCTCCTGTTTTCCATAACCTCCCACACCTATATCCAGCACTAGGACAGAGACGGAGCTCTGGAGAGTTCACACTGATTCACCTCCAGCAGGAAATCCGGGAGGGATCAGGCCGGGAAGAGGAGGGATCGTGGCCCTATCACTTACACTGCACATCTACGCGAATGGACTTGATGGCAGCCACCCCCACCCCGTTCTCAGCTTTGCAGTAGTAGCGGCCGCCCTGCACTCTCTGGATGTTGGGGATCCGTAGAGTCTCATTGAAGATGGACGTCTCCTGGAACTTGTCGGAAGCGCTGCCTGCTGTCTTGGTCCACCTCACCTGCAGGGGGCGACATTTAGAGACTCATGAGCTAATAATAAACATGCAAAACAATTTCATTTCAGCGCATGTTTTACATTTAGATATTTCAATCAATCAATCAATGATTCAGATGTTGAATTAAAAGAATCACTTAGCATTTGGTCTCTCTTTTGCTTATATTTGATTGTGACCAAGAAAATGTGAAACATCTAAATAATCATGCTACGTCAACATTTTAAAACTAAAAATGAAAAGAAAAAAAAAAGTTGCAGGTTTTTCAATGAGGTCTCAGATGTTCCTGTATTTGTATATTTAGATCAATAAAAAGAGCCATGTCTTAAAAAATTATTAAATTAAATTGTAATGATTAAGAAATATAAATGTATTTTTTAGCATTGAAATATTTTAACTCATTTTCTATGTTAAAGTAACAAAATCAAAGCTTGGAATATAAACATCAAAATAAGAAAACGTCATAATATAAATTTATAGTCCATGAAAAGATACGTCTTAAAAAATGATTAAATCTCAATTATTAAGTAAATGCATTTTTATATTAAAATATATGTATAAAATATATATATATTTAAACATATATGTTAAAATGATAAAATATAAACATATGAGGAAAAGTCACAGAATCTCAGACTTAATATGTGCATACACACCCACTGATACATCTATAAATAATAATCATGTAAACGCAAAAAGATTTCATTTATTTTCTCCTACAAAGTAATAACTGAATGTAGAGTTAAAAGTGCAAAAAATGTACAGAGAAGTATAAAAAGTCCGGTCACAAAGATGATCAAGATCAGTGGGACTCGACAAGTTTAGTGCTCAGACTATCTGTAATCAGAGTCTCATCCATCTCAATCATTCTTTTGACTCCTTCAAACAATCTTTGCATTGAGTATGTAAGGTCAAGTGAAAATCACAAACTAAAGCCTGTGTAATCTCCTACACTTCTCCACCTCTGGACATCAGTAAGCTGCTTGCATTATAACCCGGGGTCACCTCTGAACAGGGTGAGCAGCCGATTGTAGTTGGACGTACGTGGAAAGGATTATGAGATTACACCGACCTGTGTAAACGACAAGCTTTGGGTTTATTCAGGTTTATTTGCCTGTGGATTTGGGACACAGCTGCTGCTCATTTATCAGGTGTGGTGGGTGAGAAATTAACATAGAGGAAGGGAGAGAGAGCCCCTGCTGGGAGTAACCTATCCTCTCGGTGGAAAAGGACAGAAAAGCTGGTCAAAAGCTGTTTGATGGGGCAAAATCATTAAAAAGTTATAGTCCTGCTCAAGCTACAACTCAGAACCGACCCACAAAGTGAGGAACTGCTCTTACAACTTGTAAAGTTTACACCCCTGGATCTTGATGCATCGTTTTTTTCTATCTGGAGCATCAATGAGCGTTCGAACCTTTTGTAATAGTTGTGTATGAGTCCCTCAGTTGCCCCATCAGTGTGAAAAGATGGATCTCAAAATCATACAGTCGTTGTTGGAAAGGGTTCAAATACACAAAAGATGCTGTTTGTGGGAGCTGAAGGATTTTTCTGAAGAACAGCGGGCAACAGTTCAGGACAAACAAGGGACTCATGAACAACTATCACAAAACAAACAAACAAAAGAATAGCTGTGGATCATCCTGGTAACAACACAGTATTAAGAATCAAGTGTATGTAAACTTTTGAACGGGGTCATTTTTATAAATTCAACTATTATTTTCTGCTGTGGACTATATGTAAATGTCTTTTATGTGAAATATCTTATTCAGGTCAATACTAAATAAAAAAATAACATACATTTTGTATGATTAACATGAATTCATATTATTACACGGATTACCGCGTGTTACAATGGAAGACTTCAGCATTAATTTCAACATATATGGTAAAAAAAACTGTTTATTGTAATTAGTGATACAACTGTACATGCCTTAAATGTTCATATTGTCTGACTTCAAAAGGCTCAAAGCAGTTTGTTAGGAACTGTTTTTCTTCGCGGAAGCTTTGCGTAAGAGCTCATAAAATATTTCAACTCAAGTCAGTATTTCGTGTCTAATTTACTTGAGACAATTAGCCATGTAATAAATTACAAAGAAACCCCTTCAGGCTGATACAAGACCCCCCCGCTTCGCGTCAGGGTCCTGATCACCCTGTCGGGGTTTATTCTGAGATAACAACCGGCTGGATGTACATTATCCCTTACTTAATAAACGCTGTAAAAAAAAATGTTGTTCATTGATAGTTCAATACACCTATTTTTTTAATTTGCACCTGATTTTCTGAAGTTTTCTAAAGATTTTTGGTTACAATTTATTTTGATAGTCCACTTTAGACATTCCACTAACTATAAGTAACTTTGTAACTACATGTCAACTACATGCAGTGGCGGCTCGTGGGTTTTAAAATAGAGGAGGCAGGCTAATTGTATTGGTCTGGGATCCCTGCCGACTATTATTATTATTATTATTTACTTAACCACTTTAAAAGGGCTTTTTGGTTGCTTTTAGTCAGAAAACGTAAATAAAACGACATACATACAGCAAGATAATATAATTTAACTTACCTGGCCTATCACTTGAAGCAAACATCCATCCCTTCTTAAAAGTCTGTGTTAAAAGAGAGCTGCCTGTTGCGCCATTTAATTAAGCCGACTGCTGTAGCCTATATCCAGCTTAGGCTGTTTCCCTAAATTTGTATATATACTGTTTGAATGACAGCTTGGTAAATCTGTTGGCGATCAAATATTCAATATCGCTACTCATCATAAGTACTTGGTACATTATCAACGCAGCGGCAGACGTTCAAACTAATATCACGTAATTTCCATCTCTATGATGCTTGGTTGATATCAGAAGGGAGGCTAGCCTCCCTTAGTCTCTGTTAGCTGTATGCTAGCGTTCTTCATCTGTCTCTACTGCAAAATCAGGCTCACAGTATGCTCTGATATGCTTTCTGAATCCCATCTATCCATTTGATATAAATTAATTTGGTTCTGTTTGCTCAGACCAAGGGCAGGGTTATCATCATTAACTAAAACTAAAAGTAAAACCACAATCAATCAATCAATAAAAAGTCATTACTTATATTTCAATACAATTATCTCTTCCCGCCTATCCTATAACTGCCTCTATAAATTAAGTTATCTGCGAGTGACACCAATTCAAGTCAAGCATCCGCAAAGAGACGTTTATTGCTTAATGCCTGTCAAGCCTGCTTAAATCTGGGCAGCTGTGGTCCTCTTCAGCGCTAGCACTGGGTTATTGCTACTGTAAGCGCATTTAATGCTCATTGCCGGGCTTTTAATTTTTGAGCAAGTTAAATCGGTGAAGAGTCATTACTACACACAAAAGCTCAATGTTTGCAGCTTAGCTTTACACTGGCTATTACTCTAAAATCTTGTGTCTCCCTCTCTCTCTCACTCACTCTAGCTCTTGCTCTCTCAGTTCAATTTTGTGCTTTATTGGCATGACAGAAACTGTCCGTTTGTATTGCTAAAGTGTTGCAAAACCAGCTAAATAAATAAGGTAAAATGTACAATTAGCCTAAAAGGTGTTCGCTATTTATTCGGTAAGTAGCTGTGCAATACTCAGGATAAGTATGGGTCATTACTGCCAAATAAATGCAGACATTGAGCAGGATCCCACTGTGAAGCTCCTGCAGCTCTTTACTAAGCAAAAATTGGAGTTAGATCAGTTTAAACGTTGGGATTTCAGTTATTTTTTTTATGACTAGGGACACAAAGCACATATAACATCATACACAAACTGCAATAGTCTATATAATGTAAGCGTATTGGCATATCATGCGATGTACAGAGACAATATAATCAATACAGGGAATCTGATCATAATTAATAAATTCCCTTAATTCTATAAATAATGTAATAATTAAACATTATATACATGTTATATATCATTATTTATTACAAATATAAAAAAATATTACATTAAATATAAATATAACTAAATTGCACTACCGTTCAAATGTCTGAGGTCAGTAAGAAATACTTTTCTTCAGAGCAAAGACGCATTACATTGATCAAAAGTGACAGTAAAGACATTTATAATGTTACAAAAAAATGATATTTCATATAAATGTCATTCTTTTGAGCTTTCTATTCATCAAAGAATCCTGAAAAGAAAAATGTATCATGGTTTCCACAAATATATTAAGCAGCACAACTGTTTTCATCATTGATAATATAATATATATAATAATATTAATATTATAAATATAATCATTTTTATTTCTGAAGGATCATGTGACACTAAAGACTGGAATAATGATGCTGAAAAGTCACCTTTGCACTACAGGAATAAATTAAATAGAAAACATTTATTTAATAATATTTCACAATATTACGATTTTCAAATGCAGTGAGCATATGAATGCAATGAGTGAACTTTCTAGTGAGTCTTCAAAAACATCTTACATCACCAAACAATTGAAGGGTATTTTTGTAAGTGCCATAAATATCAATTTAATTATAATTACATTAAACTAGAGACCTAAATGTTAAGTCTTGTGTTACTTCAGTAGATTTTGTAATGCAAGCATCCTCTGAGCACATGACTTTCCGTAACATCAACAGATCCAGATAACAGACACTCCCACCCTAGTAATAATTATAAAGCATGCAATTACATCCAAATCCGTACATGAATTCACAGATGTCCTGTGCTAATATTTAGAAAACTAAATCCATTTGAGTGCTAAAATCAAGCCTGAGGAGAAACATAAAACAGCAGGAGAGAAAGAAGACCAAAGCAGTGTCAAGATTTTGCCGGCTCATCTCCCGTTCTGAACTGCACCTCTGTTCACTGAAATCAATCCTAATCAAATAACACGCAGTGCTGCAGAGTATTTAAACCTCTCCATATGTTACACAAACAGCAGCTTTATTAAACTTCCCACGCCGAGCGTAATAAATGAGAGTGTAAAGCGTGAGGTGTCTTTTTCTGCTCACGGACACAATGAGGGCAGAAATACATCTGCTGCACGTGGGATGTACACAGCGTTAGTCCTTCTGTGGCCTGATGCTGCACACCTTCAAGATCACACTTCTGTCCTCCAAACAAGCCAACAGAAAGCAACCGCCATGTTTACATGCACATTTTACGAAAGTTGTTCACCCCAAAATGAAAATGTTGTTATCATTTACAATGTCGTTTGAATTTCATATTATTTTCGGTCTTCTGTGAAACACAAAGTATGTTGGAATATCTTAGAAATGGAAAGGGACCTAAAAAGCATCCTAAAACAGCCCATGCGACTCCTGCGCTATATTCCAAGTCTTCTGAAACCATGCGAGAGCTTATTCTGTTATGATACTCACCTCTGCAGTAGTGCTCAAATCTGGGTCACATGACACGTGAGAACCTTCAATGGCATCAAACTTGGTGCAACACATTTAAAAGCCCCATTTTTAAATTTATATTGTGGTTCGGCCATCATTTGAAAATTTGTATGATATAATGTATAAATGTATCAAAAATAATTTATTTAAAAATATGAATTACCATCTTTTTTTACAGTTTTTTAACTAAAACTAGTACAACGTATTAAAGGGGTCATATGATGTTGCTAAAAAGAACATTATTTTGTGTATTTGGTGTAATGAAATGTTTATGAGGTTTAAAGTTCAAAAAACACATTATTTTCCACATACTGTACATTATTGTTTCTCCTCTATGACTTCCAGGATCAGGAAACAGTCAAATTAATATTTGGGTTGAACTGTTCTGGAACAACTTAACCACTGATTTCTAGTCGTGTCCTCTTTTGGAAGACCAAACAAAGTATTTTTGCTTTCACAACGAAACACACGGCGGGATAGCTGCGGCTGGAGGGCTAAAGTGAGCGGAGGCGGGCTGGCTTGAGAACGGAGCGGCCGGCGGATTCGACGAAAGAGCGGCCGGCAGGCTGGCAGCAACCACATGTGATGACCCTGGGCTGGACTCCGCTTTGTCCATGGTGAAAGTCAATCCGGCGATCCACAGCGTGAAGTTGATGTATTCCCTCAGTGACCAGCACGGATCAGCTCTAGGCATGACGAAGCGGATATCGTCCTCTTTTGGAAGACCAAACAAAGTAGTTTCGCTTTCACAATGAAACACACAGCGCCTTCACGACATGGCGGCAGCAACAATACTACAGCGAGAATAAAAGTTACGCCTTCTTTCTTTGCGTGACCATTTGGGCGGCGTTCTGCAAATCGTTCGACATCGTGATGTAGACATGTGGGGGCGTGTTAGAACGAGCCGTTTTAGGTAGGCGTGGTTGACTTAACTTTTATAAAGAATATCTCTTTGGATTTGAGACTTTAGTCTTTGCAACTTTACAGCTCTTCTTTATACACCAAGAGCTTGTAAGTAACACTTCATAGAGAAAGGAAAAATGTAAATCATTTGACCCCTTTAAATTTGTATATATGTGTGTATTTAGTTAGTTAGTTATTTGAAATAAAGCTGGAATGAAATCAAATAAAAATTTTAGATAAAACACTTCAAAATAAATAAACAAAAATGAGAAATGTTCGGTTTAATCTGTTTAATCTGAACAATAATTTGAAAAAAATATTTAAAAAAATATAAATAAAAAATAATAATAAATGAATGCAAATTATAAAAGCACATACAAAATTAATACAAAACCTAAACTTTTACATACAAACACCTAAACTAAAATTAAACTGAAACTGAATATGAATAAAAACTATACTTGTATATACTGCACATGCAGCTTTTCCTGTTCTACTCGTAGAAGTACTGGAAATACTCTTGCCATTCATTTTAATTAATTTTCAGCAATGCTGCCCACCAATTTAATTTAATTAATTCTCATTCATGCCCTTGACAACCAGCAAGCAAGAGCACACTAAATTGCTAAATTAAAATTTTGAATTTCTTTCTCCCCTAAAATGTTTTCCCCAAAAGCTTAACTTTTTATGACTTTCTGTGTCACGCAACACTTTCATCTGAACATACGCAGATATAACATTTGAAGTTCAGATGGTCTCTTCCTGTCTAAGTGGGCAGTTCTTGGCCACACAAACTGAGGGTCAGTATTTAAGGCCATAGTCAAATGTCTGGCTAGGCCTGACCTACAGGATTTCACTGACAGATATTTCATCAGTGACATGTCCAATCCATCTGTGGTGTTCTATAATCACTGACGCGGAGTTAAACATGCCACATGACCAGGGAGAGATCCAGTTACTCTTGGATGGCAATCAACAGCAATCTGAGATCGATCAGCTTGAGAGAGCAATGTCTGGAACAGGAAACTGAATTGCAATGATGATGACGATTGCTGCATTTCTAGCACTGATTCATTTGGCTTTTCCACAAACAGGCTTTCATTTACCATCATGTGTGTTCCCTGGGATTTAAAAACATAACCTTGGCATCACAAATGACAAACTTTCTCAGATGAGCTACAGGAACACGATTATGATAAAGGCGATGATGTCAGTGCTGACCGAGGCATGCGGCAGAGCGCTGACAGAATGTAACATGAAGCGTTCAATCAAGAGAATGCTGAAATGGAGACATGAGAGATGGAGAAAGATTGAAGTAAGTGATATGTCTCATGGTTTGGTTTTCTACTGGGAAAAATCACAATTGAGATGGCTTTAAAATCTCTATGATCAAATACATTCTTAATAATAAAGCTTCTTGATTGGCAGTGATGGCTCCTTGAAGAACCTTTAACATCCATGTAAACCCTTTTTGGTACCTTTATTTTTAAGAGTGTAAGAAAAAATATGTTTTTTGGGGGAACTCAAATGGTTCTTCTATGGATTCGCTGTGAAAACCCCTTTTTGGAACCTTAATTTTTAAGAGAGTATAGACTTTGGACTTACTACAGTATATGTCTTCTACTCCTCAGATGTTTCTCCTGAGAAAAAAGACCCTCGTAATCTCACATGTTTCCTCTAGAGTTTCAGAAGAGATCTCAATAATGTCTCAATATGATTTGCCAATACCAAAATCTGCAAACAAAAGTCAAAGATCTCATTATAAACTCAAATATTTTTCTTCAAATGCTTCCAAGAACATACAGTATATCCATGTTCCTTTCACATGGATTTACACTTTTACTGTACAATTTGATTTCTCATTTAAATATTTTTATTCCTAGCAACTTTAAAAGGAAGACCTCTAAGAAAGGTGATACTTTAATGGCTCAGCTAAGGTAAGATGAAGAACACACCCCCTAATGCTTTGCAGTGAAATCAGTGATCTCAGATTAAACCAATTGCAAGATTACATTATTTTGTAGCATTATATTTTTAGTCTTAAGTCAACTAATAACGTTAATCAAAGTTTCCTGAAATAAAACATTGTGAATTAGTTTAAAATGAGCATTTTCCTCTCTCTCTCTGAAATAACACTTTAAACACTTTTTTAAAGATCATTATTTTGTGTATTTGGTGTAACAGAATATGTTGACATGCTTTAATGTTCAAAAACACATTATTTTTCAAATACTGTACATTATTGTAGGTCCTCTATGCCCCGCCTCTCTCAAACGCTTTGTTTTCTACAAAGTCCCTCCTTCCGACAAGCGCAGTCTGCTCTGATTGGCCATCTGACCCGGTACATTGTGATTGGCCGAACACCGCAAGCACTCGTCGGAAATGTAACGCCCCATACCATAATCGCGAGCTTCATCTTTCAAAATAAATGTAAAGACAGAGCCCGAAAGGGGAACAGTCGCGTGACAGACACAGTGATGAAGCTGGTATGTGTTTGTGATGTGACCCCCCCTCCTAGGTTCACGAAACGGTCGTCCATAAAATGCATTGCTGTTCTGTTGTAAGTAATCTTAAAGATTCCTAAATGCATCTACTTTCGGAAGGCCAAATAAAGTGCTTTTGCTTTCACCTAGAAACACACAACGTCTCCCTGACATGGCTGCTTCAACACTGACTGCGGTTACTGAAACCATGCCTTCTTTCTTTGCGTGCACATTTGGGCGCATTATGCTAATATTTCCACATAGTGAGGTAGATATGTGGGGGCGTGTTAGAACGAGCCGTTTTAGGGGGGGCGTGGCAGAGTCTTAACTTTGATAAAGAATATCTCTTTTGTTTTGAGACTTTAGTCTTTGCAACTTCAGGGATCTTATCTATGCACAATCAGCTTGTGCAACACTCCAAAGAGAAAGGAAAACTTGAAATCGCATCATATGACCCCTTTAAACAGACTCTTTATGTTACTGTACCTTTTAGACTCAATTATGTAAATTACTTATAATTCACTAACCTGTGAACCACTAACACACCTGCTTCCAAATGACATGTTTTTGCAGCCTAGTCTGAACTGCAAATGTCTACACAGTTAATTAAACCGTTTCAATTCAAAAAACATGTTTTCTATAACGTGACCTCTTTAAAACAGTGTTTACTCATCCAGTACCATCAGCTCTTCAAACATAAAACATTTCGGGGTCCCGAGTCTCTCCCTCCTGCTATTACCAATGGTACAACGAGACATCTGGTACAAGTTAAAACTCTCGTGTCTAACCCTCCTCCTTTAACTCGTTCTCTCTCGTGGCCAATCAGAGGCTGTTAAACAGTGTTTCTGTGCGAAGCCGTCTGGTGTAATGCATTTAGATGCTGTGCACACTGAGGTGCCAACGAGAACTGTGCTTTCTAGAACACTCCACCACTGGAGGCTTTACAAAACTCACAGCACCAGCACACTGCTTTTATATTCCTTCTGCTCTACATGTGTTTCACCATCCAGTTTGGTCTCATGTTTATACGTAGGTATTACTACATAACATTTATAAGCACAAAACGTAAATTTTTACGTAAATTTTGTATGTTTAAATGCTGAAAATACGTAAGTATTTGTATGTTTAGATGCTGAAAATACATTAGTATTGTACGTTTTAGTGCCTGTAAAAACATAAGTAAATGTACGTTTTATAGAACCACGCTACGTAAAATACATACGAATTATCGTGAGATCACGTTGCACCATCACAACCTTCATCCAGATGTATACAACAACAAAAAAATCCAGATTTTGAACTGCAGTAGTAAAAACAGGATGCACAACCAAAAATCAAATTTGAATGTAAGGAAAATTCAAGGAAATGAGAACTGAAAATAAAGGAGATCCATATAACAAAAAATCAAGACAAAATATGTTTCTTTTTCTAAAAGTTTTGAAAAATGCCTACAGAACTTTTAAGAACTAGAACGACAGATGGATGGATGGATGGATGGATGGACAGATGGATGGAAGTGTTAATTTTGACAGCAAATTTTGATTTAGTTTTAGTCAGTCTTTTGACTAAAATGCCATTTAGTTTTAGTCATATTTTAGTCATCTGAACTGTTTTTAGTTTTAGTCTAGTTTTAGTTGACTAAATCTACAGTAAATTGAGTCGGCTAAA